AAGATGATGAATCTACGAAAAAAGTGTCTATGTTCTAGAATTTGACGGAGTGTGAAGATGTGGTCAATACAGCCTGGACCAGGTCTGAAACCGACCTGTTTCTCACGCGTATACCGTTTACGTGCGGCAGACAATCGACGGACTATGATACCGGCGAGAAGTTTAGAGGCAATATTGATTAAACTAATTCCTCTGTGGTTTTCACAGAAGGATCTATCACCAAGCAGCGGTCCAGTGCCCTTTGTCGGTCATCGCAAACATTTTCATCGCATTTAAATGCATTCAACTAGTGGGAAATTAATGATCTCCCATGGAGTGAAACCCACACCCAAGACCATCAAGATTGTCTGGTGCCTCTGAACAATCGAATGGGCTAATCCAAGCTTGATACTCTAAAAGGGTTACCTGAGTATCTAGCTTGCACGCGGTTAGCTTGAGACAGGATCCCAATAGTCCGCTTCGTTGTGTTTAAGTGTTCGACACTAAGAATGCTCTGATGACGTTCAACCTCTCAAATTCTTCCCCCATTTCGAATGCACCGTTATCATGTCTCGAATTAAGAACGGCCACATCTAACGACCGAAGGAGTGTCTTCTGAACGCGACAGATTACTTCACCTAATAAAAGCGTAACTGTAGCTATCAAAGTAGCTCGTTTTTTTACTTCTCCGAACAATACAGTGACTGTGTTGCTGCTTGCATTATTCCTAATTGGATGTGTAGAAAAACATTGCCTCAGTCGTCCTATTCCCCTCTTGAGTTCACAATTCTTATCCACTCATTGTAAGGCAATGATGATGCTGTGTCAATTCTGGCGCTAGAAATCGACGACAGTTGCACTTATCGAAGATCCTTTGTTTCTTCCATTAACCGCAATTTTGTGCCACATTCTCAAGGACAAATTTTGTTCGACAGCACGATAATACTACCACTGCCGATCACCCTTCCAGAGAATAGCTTATTTCCTGTGCTTATCTCTTACTCCATGCAAATATTTTTTTCCGTTTTAGCTCTTTGTTCTTCCTAGTTTCACTCGTTTTCAATCCACATCATCGCCACACGGCATGCGCAACATATATGCACACATACACCGCGATTGCTTCATGGCAGCCCAATCGATTCCACTAACTATCGATTTATGCATATCGATTCATAATCCCCCGAATGAACAAGAACAACAACAACACTTATACGGGTTCGTATGCGCGCACGCG